TGTTGTACGACGGCACATAACAACTACAACAACTATGCTCTGTCTAGAAAAATCATCACATAAATATGGGAAACTCACAAATTTTAAGTTCTTTTCAGACCCCTCTTAAACAAATCAGAAGAGTATTTCCTGAAAGGTGGACTGAAGGAGCTATATTCTGAGAAACTAACTTTCCTGAATGGCACAGGAAAGTATCAGCGACTAAAGCTAAAAGTATGAGAAACAAGCTGTCAAGCAGTTCATCTGAAACATGTCTTCAAAATATTTACCATGAGTGGCATACATATTCCTCATATCTTATTTTGCTAGTTTTGTTCTTTCTAGACAAGGGTTTAGGGGATAGAAATGCTATTGCTATGTAAAATGGGCAAAGGACAGACAAGCACTTTCAGATGAGGAGAAGGACCAGGAACAAAAGAGAGAGTCCCATCATCACATAGGCTGAGAGCTGCCCTGAGTGCAAAGCTCGACCTGCTAACCAAGACCCTGTTTCCTCTCTGTGCCCCACTGTGACCAGTCACTAGTTTAAGTGTTAGCAACTGTCTGGCACTTCATGGACATGCATAAGTCATTATTATTTATATTAAGATTATTGTTGAATAAATCAATAAGGGCACTTGTTTAAAAAAAGGGAGTATCCCGAAGGCACGCAGTTCAAATCCACAAGATGCTCCGCTGGAGAAGGAGGGGCAATCTCCTCCTGTGCCAATCGGATCTGATCCGATGGCACACAAGTTAAGACAAAACAAAACAAAAGAGTGGAAGAACCAAAAAGACCTTCCAGTTAGGGAAGGGGGTTGGGGAAAGGAATACATTATTCAGACAGATCATAAAATTTTAGAATTTCGCCAACAAGTCAGTCTGTGCCAAGACTCACCTACTGCCACCAGCACCAGCCCACCACACCACATGCTGCCTGAGCTTACCAAAGGAGCAAAACTGTGGTCCTGCTGGGCTCAGTGTCAAGTAGGAAATAAATGAAATCAATTATAGTAAAATCTATCTTAAGAAATGCAGGCAAGTCTGACACCAAAACCTGCAGAGTATTAAAAAGAACAGAGCGCCTCACCAATCCAAAGCGGAAAAGCAGCACAGTCGTATTGTTTTCACTGTAGAGTTCGAGAGTCACCAAACTAGGGCTGCAGCTGCCGACAGCTTTGGTCACATTTGGGTTGATGTTGAACACTTTCGTCACAGTCTAAATAAAAAAAAGAAACAAGTTACTGCTCCTCTTCACACCCTCGGTCCTCAACACGGTAGAAGACAATAAAACCAAGCTTAAAACAGTAACTCTGAGACCACATTCATTTTAACCAAAGCCAGAAGGAAAATATTATGTTTATAATACTGTGGATTGCTGGTTCCCAAAAAAAATCTGCCCTTGCTACTTCTGACTGCTACTTGTTTACGATCAGAATGATGTGAACCTGTATGGAAGCCCCTCATAGCATTCTTACACCTCCCCCTTTCAAAGCATTTAAAGACTCATTGCAAGCAAGTTATATGGCACTATTAAAGGAGAAAAGCTTATTTCAATATAAAAATAACAATTTTTGTAGTAGTAAGAGTTCAGTCAAATTAATGTTCCAAACTAGGATCAAACATTTTTTTCTTAACAGCTCCAGATACTAAATATTTCAAGTTTGGCAAGCTGTCAATGTGGTCTCTGTCCCAACGATTCAACTATGCTGCTTTAGATGAAAGCAGCTTTAGAGAATATGTGAACAAACAGGAATGGCTGTGGTCCAATAAAATTCATTTATCAAATCTACTGGTTCTTTCGCTTTATGATTCATACTCTAAAGGACTATGCACTATAAGGCTGAGTTTCTAATACTGGTTTATAGTGACAAAGCACTCTCTAATGACCAAGGGGTGAGGAATGGCGTTAAATCCATTACTTAAGAGTACTGCAATGTGTCCTAAAATACGCTATCGGTGATATAGTAATACCAAAAGCATACGAGGAAGATCTATTAATATGACTGTTATTCAAATATATGTACCAACCACTAAAGCCAAACTTACAGAAATGTACAACTGAACCAATCATGACAGACAGAGAGAAGGATCTGATTTCACTTACATTCCCAATCAACACCCAACAGAACAGCAGTCAAGAAATTAAAAGATGAAAACAACAAATGCTGGCAAGGTTGTGGAGAAACTGGAACTCTTATTCACTGCTGGTGGGAATGTAAAATGATACAACCACTATGGAAGGAGGTCTGGTCCTTTCTCAGAAAGTTGGGAACAGAAATACCATTTGATCCAGCAATTCCATTACTAGTAATATACCCTAAAACAAGAGCTGCAATTCAAGCAGATGTATGCACACCCATGTTCACTGTTCACAATAGCAGAGATGGAAGCAACTCAAATGCCCATCAACAAATGAATGGATGGAAAAACTATGGTATATTCATACAGTGGAATACTAAGCAGCACTGAAAAACAAGAATATCATAAACTATTACACAACATGGGTGACCCTGGAGGACATTATGTTGAGTGAAATATCTCAGTCACAAAAGGACAAATACCATATAACAGCATTATTATAAAATAGGACTGACATGGGGGTTGGGGAGTAACTAAGAAAAGAGGGGATAAATAATGAATACTACATTGAACACTAAAAGATGAAGAAAAGAACTATTTAAAAGGAATATATGATTAGTCATTATGACAAAAGTCCAGAATAAGATGCATAGCAAAGTAAACTGGGAGGTGGGGGGAAGGGAGGAAATTATGCAATAAGTAAAATTTTTTTTTCATTTCCATCCATTCTTTCTTGCACTTTCCTCCCTGCCCACCACTCCCCCAGTTCACTTTTTTCTTTGATAAGTAAAAATAAATAAATAAATCTTTCATTGTTATACAATCCCCCGCAGCCCAGTCCACTCCACTATGAACTTTTCATTCTGGACTCTTGTCATGACAATAATACCTAA